ATCCTTTTCATAGAAGCACGTGAAAGTGACCAGTGTTGCGTGGCAGCTCCACGCAACACTACACGCTACACTACACGCAACACTACACGCTACACTGCGCGCAACACTACCGAACTGCTGGCAGGGGCGGCATTTTGGAGCTTTGAGACGCACTTCTAACCCTTACAAGCCAAATTGCTAACCTCAAGAGATCTTTGCCTAACTCCAACAAGGTAGATTTTGCTAACCACAAAAAATGTCTTGACCCTTATATTTTCACTAACCTCAATATTGTGTATTTCACTAACCTCAATATTGTGTATTTCACTAACCACAATATTGTGCATTTCACTAACCTCTAAGACTAAAAGCAGCAGTCCTAAGGAATAATGTAATGAAATCAGTTTGCAACAACAAAATGTTCCCCGAACACAAAAATTTTGCATCCAAAACCCCGCGGATCCATGGACGTCGGGAAATTGACGGGAAATTGCTCACAATACACCCCGTAGAGCTTTCGCATAGACGTCGGGAAATTGGCGGGAAATTGTTCACAACACATCCCGTAAAGTCCCCGTAAAGAGGAAAAGTCTCCATAGAGAGAGAAAAAGTCTCCATAGAGAAGAGTCCCCGTAAAGTCCCCGTAAAGTCCCCGTAAAGAGGAAAAGTCTCCATAGAGAGAGAAAAAGTCTCCATAGAGAAGAGTCCCCGTAAAGTCCCCGTAAAGTCCCCGTAAAGTCCCCGTAAAGAGGAAAAGTCTCCATAGAGAGAGAAAAAGTCTCCATGGAGAAGAGTCCCCGTAAAGTCCCCGTCAAGTTCCCGTAAAGACCAAAAGTCTCCATAGAGAGAGAAAAAATCTCCATAGAGAAGAGTCCCCGTAAAGTCCCCGTAAAGAGGAAAAGTCTCCATAGAGAGAGAAAAAGTCTCCATAGAGAAGAGTCCCCGTAACGTCCCCGTAAAGTTCCCGTAAGGAGGAAAAGTCTCCATAGACAGAGAAAAAGTCTCGATAGAGAGAGAAAAAGTCTCCATACAGAAGAGTCCCCGTAAAGTCCCCGTAAAGTCCCCGTAAAGAGGAAAAGTTTCCATAGAGAGAGAAAAAGTCTCCATAGAGAGAGAAAAAGTCTCCTATAGAGAAGAGTCCCCGTAAAGTCCCCGTAAAGTCCCCGTAAAGAGGAAAAGTCTCCATAGAGAGAGAAAAAGTCTCCATAGAGAAGAGTCCCCGTAAAGTCCGCGTAAAGAGGAAAAGTCTCCATAGAGAGAGAAAAAGTCTCCATAGAGAGAGAAAAAGTCTCCATAGAGAAGAGTCCCCGTAAAGTCCCCGTAAAGTACCCGTAAAGAGAAAAAGTTTCCATAGAGAGAGAAAAAGTCTCCATAGAGAAGAGTCCCCGTAAAGTCCCCGTAAAGTCCCCGTAAAGAGGAAAAGTCTCCATAGAGAGAGAAAAAGTCTCCATAGAGAAGAGTCCCCGTAAAGTCCCCGTAAAGAATAAAAGTCTCCATAGAGAGAGAAAAAGTCTCCAGAGAGAAGAGTCCCCGTAAAGTCCCCGTAAAGTCCCCGTAAAGAGGAAAAGTTTCCATAGAGAGAGAAAAAGTCTCCATAGAGAAGAGTCCCCGTAAGGTCCCCGTAAAGAGGAAAAGTTTCCATAGAGAGAGAAAAAGTCTCCATAGAGAAGAGTCCCCGTAAAGTCCCCGTAAAGTCCCCGTAAAGTCCCCGTAAAGAGGAAAAGGGAGGACAGGAAAAGTCTCCATAGAGAGAGAAAAAAGTTTGCTCCATAGAGCAAAGCGTCCCCGTAAAGAAGTCCCCGTAAAGTCCCCGTAAGAGGAAAAAGTCTTTCCATAGAGAGAGAAAAAGTTCTCCATTAGAGGAGAGTCCCGAAGAAGTACCCGTAAAGAGGGGAAAAGGTCTCATAGAGAGAGAAAAAGGCTCCATAGAGAGAGTCCCGTTAAAGTCCCGTAAAGTCCACCGTAAAGTCCACGTAAAGGGGGTTAGGTCCCATAGAGAGAGAAAAAGTCTCCAGTCCCCGTAAAGTCCCCGTAAAGAGGAAAAGTCTCCATAGAGAGAGAAAAAGTCTCCATAGAGAAGAGTTCCCGTAAAGTCCCCGTAAAGTCCCTGTAAAGTCCCCGTAAAGAGGAAAAGTCTCCATAGAGAGAGAAAAAGTTTCCATAGAGAAGAGTCCCCGTAAAGTCCCCGTAAAGAGGAAAAGTCTCCATAGAGAGAGAAAAAGTCTCCATAGAGAGAGAAAAAGTCTCCATAGAGAAGAGTCCCCGTAAAGTCCCCGTAAAGTCCCCCTAAAGAGGAAAAGTCTCCATAGAGAGAGAAAAAGTCTCCATAGAGAAGAGTCCCCGTAAAGTCCGCGTAAAGTCCCCGTAAGGAGGAAAAGTCTCCATAGAGAGAGAGTCCCGTAAAGTCCCCGTAAGAGGAAAAGTCTCTATAGAGAGAGGAAAAGTCTCCATAGAGAAGAGTTCCCGTAAAGTCCCCGTAAAGAGGAAAAGTCTCCATAGAGAGAGAAAAAGTCTCCATAGAGAAGAGTCGCCGTAAAGTCCCCGTAAAGTCCCCGTAAAGAGGAAAAGTCTCCATAGAGAGAGAAAAAGTCTCCATAGAGAGAGAGAAAAAGTCTCCATAGAGAAGAGTCCCCGTAAAGTCCCCGTAAAGAGGAAAAGTCTCCATAGAGAGAGAAAAAGTCTCCATAGAGAAGAGTCCCCGTAAAGTCCCCGTAAAGTCCCCGTAAAGTCCCCGTACGGGGACTCTTCTCTATGGAGACTTTTTCTCTCTCCATAGGAGACTTTTCCTCTTTACGGGGACTTTACGGGGATTTTACGGGGACTCTTCTCTATGGAGACTTTTTCTCTCTCTATGGAGACTTTTCCTCTTTTCTCTCTTGCGGACAGGTGAGGAGACAGGAGAGAAGAAGAGAGAGGAGAGAGGAGAGGATTTTGGATTCAAACCTTTCCTGACAAAAAAGGTCGGACAGGAACAAAAAGGAAAGGAACAAAAAGGAAAGGAACAAAAAGGAAGGGAAGAAGAGGAGAGAGGAGACAGGAGAGAAGAAGAGAGAGGAGAGAGGAGAGGATTTTGGATTCAAACCTTTCCTGACAAAAAAGGTCGGACAGGAACAAAAAGGAAAGGAACAAAAAGGAAAGGAACAAAAGGAAAGGAACAAAAAGGAAGGGAACAAAAAGGAAAAAGGAGAGGAACAAAAAGGACAGGAAGCTATACGGGAGGTATACATGGACTCCAGAAGTTTGGTTGTCATATGTAAATCACCTAGTAATGGTTAATGGTTAGGGTTAGTACACCTAGTAATGGTTAAAAAAAAATCATTTGAGGGTTAGATTCCCCATGGGGTTAGAAAAGCATGCGTGTAATGGTAATGAAATCCCCATAAAGGGGTTAGAAAGGCAACTTAATATAAGGGTTAGGCGTGGTCGTGCATCCACCTTGGTTTTGCGTGGCAGGCTTGGCACCTATGGCACTGGCATGGGCGCGCTTGGGCGCGCTTGGGCACGCTTGGGCGCGCTTGTTCGCCGGTGACGCTGGTGACGCCGTGGTACTCTCCGTGGCAGGTGTGGCACTTGGCGACATCCACCTTCTTTTCGCGTGGCAGGTGTGGCACTTGGAGACATCCACCTACGTTTCGCGTGGCAGGCGTGGCACTTATGGCACTGGGCTGGCTTTGGTGGCGCGCTTGGACCCACCATATTTGACACAGCATCTTTCACACACAACTTTGTCACACACCATCTTTGACACACCACATTGTCACGCACCATCTTTGACACACCATCTTTCACACACCATCTTTGACACACCATCTTTCACACACCACTTTGTCACACACCATCTTTCACGCACAACTTTGTCACACACACACACACCATCTTTCACACACCATCTTTCACACACCACTTTGTCACCCACCATCTTTGACACACCATCTTTCACACACCAACTTTCACACACCATCTTTCACACACCACTTTGTCACACACCATCTTTCACACACCATTTTTGACACACCATCTTTCACACCACTTTGTCACACACCATCTTTCACACACCGTCACAGACGATCTTTCACACACCATCTTTCACGCACCACTTTGTGTCACACCATCCTTCACCACAGCATCCTTCACACACCACTTTGTCACACACCATCTTTCACCACACCATCTTTCACACACAACTTTGTCACACACCATGTTTCACATGCAACTTTGTCACACACACACAACTTTGTTTTACTTCTCGATCCTCCACCACCTCCTTTGTCTTTCCTTCTTTCCCCGTCCCCGCTACAACACTTGGTGCTCATTATTGGAAGAAATTGCTTTGTGGGGTTATCCGGTCCTTTAATTTCTCAGATGAATTGTATATATTGTATTGCATTTTCTATGTTTCCTGCCACTCAGGGTACAACGGTGAGTACTTGCCGCAGTTCATCGAGGATCCTCAGCCCGGTGTCGTGAACGTCTCCCGCACCATGAAGTGCGCCATCACCTGGGCATCGGGAACCATGAACCCCCAGCCATAAGGAAACCTAGCCATAATTTATATCATGGAAACCATATGGAAAACATCTGGAAACCTGAGAGTTGGATTTGAATAGATTGACTTTGAGATTCCTTTGATGGTCATAATTTGTTCCCATCTTTTTCAAACTGAAGTGCCCATGAGGTGGACCCTGCCCACGGACGTGCCAGCACACCGTGTGCCGCCGAAGTCTGTGGCTAAGAATGGAAGGGAATTGGATTCCAGCTACGACTGTGGAGAAATCTTCGGCAAGGGCGGTAAAATTAAAGACATATTAGTATGCATTTGACGGATCTTGATGGCACATCTGTCCATGTGCTTTCCATCACTAGCACAGACGCGATGCTGTGCACGTCCGAGGAGCGCCATGGAGATTCTTCCCAAGCAGCCGCGGAAGAAGGCGCAGAAACGACGGGTCAAGCCATAGCTGACATCGTGCTGTTGGCTGGAGATTTAGTTGGTGAAGCTTTGGAACGAAGGTTGGTGCAATCGACATCTCCTTCAAAGAGCCTCATTTGCCCATTGGTGTCCGGGCCCCTGCCTTTGGGCTCCCCAACTAGAAGTGAAATGCCAAATTCATGCAAGGAAATTCATGCAAGGCCATTGCCTTACAACAAAGGGTGAAGACAGCTGCCTTAGTGGCTGGAATTACGGGGACTCCAAATGCTCACCAGGATTTTTGCCTGCATCACAAGGAGGCAAAACATGTTTACATCACTTCTAGAGCTATTTGTTAACCTCAGGTTGCTACAAGCACCAGCTTATGGAGATAGGTATGGGTTAAAACCCTGGTGCCCCGCCTAAGATCAAAATTCGGCCCCAATATGGTATCATTGGTTTAGACTCTAGACATGTTTAGACCCCATTTCCGTATTTGCGCAGAGCGTCACAGAGCGTCCAAGCGTGAGGTCAGAAAGAGCAGCTGCAATGCTCAGCAGCCAGACAGCTACCGAGAGTGTGGCATGGCTGTGCAGGACTGCGGCTGTCTGAGAGTATGCAAGTGGGTGTGTCTGAAACTGATGTATAATCCTCATTTATGATGATTTTGGGGGGTAAATGATTAAGCAGTCGATTTAGTGGGATGCCCTATTTTACGTGAATGATTCCGAATGAGCCCACAAGGAAAACCCGGAAACCCACGTCGATGTGATTTTTGTGATCCTTTGTCGTTCAGGATGGTGACGAATGCACCTGTGTGACACTGAGCTGGAATGAAGCGTGTAGGATTTTGCGGCAAATCTAAATCTGTGGCTGACTACCTTGGCCGTGGAGATTTGGCACATTTGTCCAATTAGGCCAGGCTGCTTTCAATTTTATTCTCAAAGATGTCAAGCGGCCCGTGCTGCACGACAGATCAGACTTTGAGGTTTCACCTATGTGGTCCCATTCAATCTCAAGACAACCCTGTACTTGGCGGGGAGGCATAGTACATTCGTGTTTCAGATCTTGGCCTTGTTTCCCAGCGCATGAGCTTGAGATATTTTTCATATTACTAAGGACTTCAGAGCAAAATGCATGATATTTGTGACCTGCCAAGTGCTAAGGACAAGCTGATGGCGTGGATGAAGCTTCCAGCAGAAGACTAAGAAAGACCAAGTCGGACCTTAGAAGACACCTCAAAAAAAAGGTCTTGGAGTGTATCCAAGATACTGTATCCCAAGAAACAGCTTGTTTTATGCCATCAATATCCATTCAAACACCATTTTTGAATATTTTTGATGGGTCTGCAAATCAGGCCATTAGCGGTCCCGGAAAAAGCATGGGAAAGACGGGCCGGTTGTTCTCCATGGTTTAGCTATCGGATCTGCTCTGAGGCCCGGGCCTTCATGTACGGCCAGATGAAGTACTGGACCGTGCCCATTGACCAGAGCAAAGTGGATTTCTACTGCGACCCCGAGCAGGAGGACTGTCGAGAAGCTTCAGCAAAAGGAGTTATATATAACAGTTATATATAAATCTATTAAATGTTGATAATCTAAGTCTTGGGAATCAGTCAATCCAAAGCAGGTCCAACATGTTGCAATATATATATAGTGCATTGCAAACGCATGCAAACGCTGTCAAACATCGTCAAACAGCTACGACGTCGTTGCGATGTCATGGCAATATCTACAAATCACAACGAGGACTGCCAGTTCGAGGTGTCCTTCTCAGAGAACGCCAAGGCCATTTCTGAGTCATTGTCCAGCTATCAATGCTGACTATGACTGACTGCCTGAAAGAATCGAATGAGGCATTGAAGAATAGAGCTGTAGCAGCAATTGCGTTTAAAATGCACGTTTTCTGGCCAAAGCCATGCCGCAGATTCTCCAGTGGTCGTGGTTTGGCGAGTGGGTACAGCTGGCATGGTTTGTCGTTGGAAGACCTACAGAACCCTTTGCCTAACGGGCTCTCGGTTAGGATAGTCAGGGGGATGTCAGGGCTAAGGATTACTACTTGTACTCTCTTCGTATTACGAACCACGAACCCTTTGAGAATCCCTTGACACTGGGTCGCTAGGTGGTTGAATTCCCATAGGCTTCAGTGCTGTAGCTTGCCCAGCTGTTTTGCCTTGACGCTGACAGGACAAGACCAAATTCACGCCTGAAGGTATTGCAATTGGCTTGGTGGCTATCCCAGAAACAAACCTGAAGCTGGAGCTTTTTGTCAAAAAAAGCTGTATTTCGATGCATTCAGTATATAAATGTACGTATATGATTCATATGATACCAAAAAGATGAGGGATAGTTGTCATAATTCTTGATCCATGGATATCCATGGCAATTATCCAAGAATTTGTGCTTTGCAGAATAGGAATCTTCAGCCCTGGGATCGAGGTCTTGGCCACCTTGATCTTTGCGCCAATCGCAGTTTCTAAGGTTCCTAAGACAGAACTTATCGGAGTTTCTGTATTGCAACTGTGTTGAAATAGGAATCAATATGAATCAATAGTATTTCAATAGTGAACATCCGAAAGGCACACTCTAAAAGTTTCATAAAGTTTCCAGGTTCTGGTACCATGAAGTCGAACAAAAACTCTATTTTCGACATGTCTTCAGAAGATGCACAAGTCCACGATTTTGCCGATCCGTTGAATCATTGTCATAGAATTGATGAATATCATTGAGAACAATGTGCGTTGTAGGCTAGGGCAGCTAGGTGTTCAGGATCCATGTTGATCGCAGAGGCATCTAGGCATCTCACCAAGGAACGTCGCTCTTCAAAAAATGTGGAGGGCAAAATCATCAGGCGGGTCTCCCTTCTGCGAATGTGTCATGGCTCAGAAAGTGGCCATGTATGACACTGTACTACAGCACCTATAAACGAACAGAACAAAGACAGAGTAGAGCCAGGGAAAGGATCTTCCACATGCTTCCATGTTCTCAGGGAAAAGGACCATCAAAAGACGATGTAAAGCCGTGGGGAGCATTTTGTCGAGCTCTTCATCTATGGTGTTTTGCTCAGAGATTCCTGCCTGCTTTTTCGCTGCTATTTGCCTTTAATATTTTAAAATGTTTCAATATGTTTCAAATCGTACTATGTTGATCATTGATCCAGACCATTGCGAATCGCTGCAAAGCCTGAGGCTGATTCTCCCTCTCCGAGTTGCAACTTTTCCAGTCCTCTTGTTGTGCACTGGCCCAGATGACTTTTGATCCAGTGCTGGTTTTATACCAGCCTGGTGGGGGAGAAAAGCCGAGATGGGCCGCCCAAATTCGCAACGTTGCACAGACTGAATGCGAGTTCAAAAGGAGCAGGTCCACAAGATCTCTGGTGGGATAGAACATGGTAGAACCATTTGGATCCATTTGGAATGAAATCAAGGATTGGAAGCTCATGTGGCGCCCCACACAAGACGTGCCGAGACTGCTTGCAGCAGGGGTGTTTGATGGTGTTTGTATTTATAGACCGTGTGAAGATTGATGTTCCATGTGCAGGCGTTGACCGCATGAAAACAACCTCTTCATACTGGCCTGCACTCGATTTTTGTCAAGGTTTGACACAGCACACATTTTTGCCATGGAAGCCTTTGAAAAGGCCTGTTTCTGCACTTACTTTCAGATCCAGAGGTTTTCTTGAATCAGCTCGGAATGCCATTCCTTCCAATCCCACTTATAAACATGATGTAAAAACTACTGGAGACATGAAAACTACTGCGAGATCCGATCAGTTTCCAAGTTTCCAATCCAAGGCTCAGTTGACCTCCAAAACAGCCATGGCTTTCTTTTCGTCGGCCTTGAGACTGGGCCTGTGGAAACAGTCCATTGCAGGGATGCCCATGGGACGGGTGTGGACTTTGTAAGGAACTTGGATGCAAAAGACAACTTTGGGATACTTTGGGTACATGACATGAATCATCCACATCGATCCACAAGGAAATCAATCTCTAGGTCCTCTAGGTCATTCTTGTAGCTCAATGTACAAAGCACCTGCCGTTGTGTGGTTGGTGAAGCGTGAAAGTGGCTCTAGACTCTACATAGCTATCTGGGGTGCGGATGGAAGGGTCGGGGCCTCGCTTGTGACGCTTTCTGATTGGCAACGTCCAATCCCGTGAAAGCGGTAGGGACCCCACCCCACCCCAGCCCACTCAACCCTCGTGAGCACCAGTTTCGCAAGTGATCCATGCAAAGTGTCGCAAGTGATGCAAAGTGGTGCAAGTGAGACTCAAAAGGTGTCGCAAAGTCAGAAACTGTCGCAAGTGTGCCAAAAAAGTGTTGCGAGTGAGCCCCGAACTGATGGAAGGTCCGTTGCGCCGACAACACTGGCATCATCAAGGCTTGCATTATTGGTCTAGGTTTGGCGCCCAGTTTCTCCCGACAGCATGAATGGCAATAAGAAAAAAGGTATCATGTTTGATTGATTCCTCGAAGCCTCTAGCAATCCTGCTCTGTTGCATGCCTCAAACGATGGAGAATCAACCATGAAACAATGACAGTACAGCCAAGGCAAGAACAAATGGGGCACAGGAAAGATTGGCGATCGCATACGTGTGAGTGCCCGACTCTCAAGAAAGCCCAACTGCAGTGCCTTCGCAAATGTACTTGGACTTTAAGAAGGGCATGTGCCACCCATACCCAAGAGACTTGACATTATCATACCAGATTGGAATCAAGACTGTGCCCATGCTCCACAAATCAAACAGGCGAGCAGTTGAAATATCGGAAGGGGCTGCTTAATATTGCTTGTTGATGGTAGTTGCACGTTGCAGATGGCCAGAGATGGCAAGCAAATGCAGCAGCAAATGCAGTGATAAAATGGAGAGGTCCGCGACAAGCACGATTTCTACAAGGCTCTCCAGACTTGGAATCTTCAGACTATTTCCGACTTCTTACTTCATCTACTTGCCCGACCTTGAAGTATTTTACGGCTTTCTGTTCTACTACTCAAATCAGCTGTACCGAACCCAACCAAGCAATGAAATCCATCATACAACGAAGGGGTAGTCGACCTCAGCTGACCAGGGCGAGCAGATGCCAAAAGGAATCATTGCAAGAACTCGCAAGGACGGCGATGGCATGATATGGTGTGGCAATCCAAAGCAGCTTCTCCTGGCAAACAGACATCGATCATTGGTGGGTGTTGGATGTGGATTGGTGGATTGGAAGATTGAAAAGGTTAGAAGGTGTGGGTAGTCTTGAGGCTGTCAGGATATGTTGGAAGCAGTGAACACTATAGCAAACCTTTCGAAGGAGATCCAACAACTTGAACTAGAGTGGTTCAGTGGTTCAGATATACTTTTCTAGAACCATTTTTGTCCCTGAGATTGGATTGTAAGACTCTGCTACTTCCAATAAGAATCAGAGGGTCTTGCGCGGGATGTGCTGAATCAGGAGGTCAATCGTCTGTCCTGCTTGATTCCTCGCCGGTGTGGGTTCAGACGAATGAGCTACCACTGTGAACTTCAAATTTAAAATATCCTCACCAGACATTGGTGCCAATTTGGGCATGGTTGCTCCCAACACCCCGGAGACAAGTAGTGAAACTGGTAGATAAAGAGGTACCCATAAGATAACAAATTTCCATCCATTTCCTTCCCTTACTACATATTATTATGCTATTCTGGCTATGACATATGGCTGCGGCGTTCGAATTTCTTGGAGCCCTGAGACGTGACAGTTTGCGCCAGGTAAGGATGGCAGCTACATCAAGTTTGACGAGAACGCCTTTGTGGTGATCTCCAAGAACAAGGTCCGCCTGGGTCCCCTGGGAGATCTGCTTCCCGGTAGTTTGAAGTCTATGCATCACCAATTCTGGTGGCAGGTGATTGTAAAGTGCCCGGTGATGTCCCCTCCAAACGCCAGGCAAAGGGCTCGAAGATTAAAGGCCCGTTGTCCTACGAGATCCAAAACAATTGTGGAGCTGCCACGCTTGGGGCTGTCCCGCGACTTGGGAAGTTTAGGAAGGCTGTGAAGATCTGCGAATTTCACATTTGATCTCTAGGACTCTGAAATGATTGATGCTGATTGATGCTGATTGACTGGAAACTGTCCATTCTGATTTACATTCTGCTGAAACAAGATGCCATGGCTTTTTCGCAAAGTGTCCAAATGGAGAGATCCATGAGATCCGAGATCGCCAGGCAAGTCTTTAGCCCGTTGGATTTTCTGACGGCCTCGCTCGTTTCACTGGAAAAAAGTGGAGACAAGGGCGGAGGGAGAGAGGCGCAAGGGCGGTAAGACATTGCTAGTATGATGCAATGACATTCTATTTGCCGGCATAGTCTTCCGTTTTTAGTTGCGATTCCATCTTCTCTTTGTCGTGAGCACTTTACACACGGTTCGACTGACCACAAAGTGGCCTCATTAATTACGCTGTGGAACTGCTTTTGTCCGCAACTTCTTGGTTCAAATGCAACGCAGTCCAGTATAGTCCTGTCATGAAGGTAATTAGGGCAGAATCATGGATCATCCCAAGCCAGATGATTTGACAAACCCCAGCAGAGCCAGTGGACAGCCAAGCCCAGCAAGAGTAGCGGAGATCATTGGCAGAACATAACATTTCATTGCTCCCGTGGAACAGCCGATGGCGGAAGAGTTTCAGGCGCTTCTTTGTAATGTCATGTTATACTTTCTTTCTAGCTGGTTGTTAGGGGCATCCTCCATTGCCTTGGCCAGTTGCAAAGGTCCTTTGTTGTCAGAACTCATGAATTCAAGCCTTGTGTGCACCAAGATTTCTGCTTCCTTTGGCGGACCACTCTTCCTTGATAGAACCCCAGCGATGCATGTTCTCTACTGGACGGTTCGTTAAACCTTGAAGATCTTGCAGTGACTTGAACTGTCATGTGCAGGGCGAGGCCCAGCCGCCACCTCCACCAGAGGAGGACAGTAACTGGGATACTGCAGATCTGTTGGGCCAGGGAAGAAATGAAACTTAAGGACTTAAGGGTATTCACCGGTATTCATCGGTGTTCACCATACAAATTTGGAGGCACCTGGTGCAGTCCATGCAAGCCCTGCGCAAGCTTGTGCTCAATCCAGGAGTACCGGAACTCCGACCGTCGAGAGGAGAGAAATGCAGCCCACTGCAACAGACTTGGCCGACTCCAAGAATCGAAGGGCTTCAAGTTTTGCAGATGCTCCAAATCTATCCAAATCTATCCAATTCGGAATGTCTACAAGAGTCACTTCAGTCTCCTTTGATTTGTCCTCAAAAGAATCCTCAAAATATTCAAAGTGGCGTATCAGAGGAGCGCAGTCGCGGCAAACGCAGCCGGGACCGCCGCAGCCGCGACCGGCGGAGCAGAGACCGGCGTCGGAGCCGGGATAAACGTAGCCGCGATCGAGACCGGCGACGCAGTCGGCACGTGTCTCAATCCGCTTTGTGTGGACAGAGTAGACCAAGGAATGATACTTATTTGAACATATTGAGAAATCAGATAGGTTGGTTGTTTGGTTTGAAAATCTATTATCCAGGATTCGCATAGATTCGCAGAGTCTTACATGTCCCTGCTGCAAAGGGTTCAATATCAATAGAGTTGAGGTCACGGTCTCGACGCAGAGGGGGCGGCTCTTTGCAGGCTGGTTGCCAGGGTGAGCAACCAGTAGTCAAAAGGGGTGGCTGCAAGGGCATATCAATCATAGTTTGTTATTGAAAATGTAGAATTGATATGAATTGATAGATTCTGATGTTGGAAATGGTTGGTTTGACAAACAAGCAACATCAAGCAATGTCGTGCCGAAGATCCGCAGGATGAGCTTCGGGCAGATCGGGGTGAGGAGCCGCAAGAGCGGATGGAGGAACCTCCCCCGCCCTCGGAGGTGGGGAAGCTCCCAAGTGCGGTGTCGATGGTTTGGTTAAAGTTTCAAAGACATTTTAGGTGCATCATGATGCTCTTTACCACGAATTTACATGACATGAATTTACATTAATTAAGTTTGGGAAACATGGATGTATCATGTTTTATAACATGATATATATATATGTATATATATATATGCCAATGGATACATCACAGTGCGCAATAACCATAAATTGCCAGTAAATTGATAACTGCTGATGTTAAATCCACAACTTGGATTCAGTCGCTTGGCAGGCACCACCACCACCGCCACCTGACGAACCCAAGCGAAAGAAGTCTCGCTGGGGTGAGGCCAGCTGACAACCAGAAAGGGCATTTATTATATATATATAACGTATCTTGAGAGATGTTAGGCATGTTTGAAGTCATTCAATCTATGTATAATCATATACATACGTTTATACATATATATATATATATATACATACAATATATATATATATATATACACATGATATATACACACACACATTATATATACACATTCTATATATATACACTCTCTCTATCATTATGTATATATATAGATACACATTACATATTCATATGCATACACTTTATACAATATATAATATATATATACATTATATATGTGTATATATGTATCTATATATATACATACATTATACACACACATATATATATATATACACATTGTATACATATATATATATACATTGTATACAAATATATATATATATACTTAAAAAACGCATTATATATATACATATATATATATCATGTATATATACACATTACACACATACATATAGATACACATTATATATATACACATTATATACATATATACATATGTATATATATATGCAGTCTTTGTATAATAATATGTAAATAAATGTATGTATGTATATATATATATACACATGTAATTGAAGGAAATTCAGAAGTCAAACTTCCGACTTATGGACAGATGCAGCAACGGTCGTGAGAGCAGTCAGAGAAGAGAAAGAGTCAGAAGAAGGTGAAAAAGGTAGAAAAGTCACAAAACACTGTGTTTTTCCAATGTTTCGTGGCTCCAGCGGGTCCAAAGCAGGCTCGCTAAGGCGGCGGGCGCGGAATACAAGAGATGAAAAATTGCACGCCGCTGTGGCGCGAAGCACGTTTTGAAGTCAAAATGTCAAGAACACCTCATGCTTGGAGCATGTTTGGAAGTTGAGATGTCGAAAAGGCGTCCGTGGTTGTGGCGCCAAGCACGTGTCGAAGTCAAAGCATACAAAAGGTAGTGTTTTCAGAGCACTTTTCAAAAAGTGCATGCGACTGTGGCAAAGCGCGTCTCGAAGTCAAAATGCCAAAAGCATCTCAGCAAGACATCACGTTCGGACCGCTTTTGGACGTGCAGGCGTCGTTTTTCGTGGCAGGGGAAATGGATTCTGCACCTCGTCAAAAGTGAGCCAAACGTCTGGGTTTTGCAGAACTTCCAGAAACGATGGCAGCCGTGGAAGCTTTGACGAGGATCTGCAAAGATGGATTTCGCGTGGAAGGCGCAGTACAAGAGACATATCCATCCGACATGTAAGGAGGGCCGGGCGTTGATTTCCTGAGAGGGGTTGCATTTTGGAGCATCAGATCTTCAGGTTTGCTAAAATGATTTTGCTGATTTTGGCTTTGCTCTTTCGTGGCAGGCGCAGTACTGTGGACAGATGGACCGGAAAACTCACAAAACGTATTGGTACGAGGCCGCCAGCTCCGTAGTTTTGAAGGAAGTCTCGCAGAATTGCTTTGTTTTCGATGTTGTCAACTTCAGAAATGGAGAAAGTCTCACTGAGTTTCGTCGTTTTGGAGCTGTGCGCTTTCATTTTTTGAAAGGTCTCGCAGAATTGCTTCGTTTTTGATGTTGCCAACCCTCACTTTTGAAGGAAGTCTCGCAGACTTTCAGATAGAAAGATGGGTGGATGGGTGGATAGAGAAAGCCATGGAGATAGAGATAAACAAAGAGAGAAGAATAGAGATACAGATGGAGATAGTTATAGGGATCCATATATATATATATATACGTAACTATATATAACTATATATATATATATAAATATAACTATATATATATATATAACTATATATAGAGAGAGAGAGAGCGACAGAGAAAAAGAAGGATACACAACTTGGAAAGGATTGACAGGGAAACAAATAAATGGATTGGATTAGATTAGATTAGGTTCGATTCGATTCGATTAGATAGATAGATAAACAGACGGACAGACAGACAGACAGATAGATAGATAGATAGACAGATAGAGAAATAGAAATAGAGATAGAGAGTCAGCGAGATAGATAAACATACAGAGAAACAGACAGATGCTTAAAGACAGAGCGAGATGGAGAGAGGGAAGGAAAAAATGAGATGGACAGAGTGAGAGAGGTAGAGAAACACAGAGAAACACAGAGGAAAGGAGACAGAGAGAGATAGAGAGGGAGACACTCAGAGCCTCAACTCAACCACCTTTCGGTCCATCAGTGCGCTCTGCCATCAATGAATCACGACAACCAAACCTCCCTTATAGGTTTCCCATCTTTGAAACTTCCGCCGCCGCCTTGTGCGGTCCTACTGGTGAGCTGTATTGGTTTAATCACGAAAGCTAGCTGTGCTAGCTGAAGTTGCTCTTGCTTTAGCAAGGCAGGCCCAGGTTCGATCCCCCCTGGTCCCCCCCGAGCCCCCCGGAGAGGAGATTTCCCTCTGCTGGTAGAGGGTCATCATCCTCATTTTCATTTTCATCTTCATCTTCACCCTCCTCAACCTCAACCTCAACCTCATCCTCATCCTCATCCTCATCATCTTCATCATCATCCCCATCATCCGCAGCATCCACATCAACATCAACATCGACATCAACATCATCATCATCATCATCATCCTCATCTTTATCCTCATCTTTATCCTCATCTTTATCCTCATCTTTATCCTCATCTTTATCCTCATCTTTATCCTCATTCTCATTCTCATCATCATCATCATCATCATCATCATCTTCTTCTTCTTCTTCATCATCATTATCATCATCATCGTCATCGTCACCGTCATCATCATCATCATCATCATCATCATCATCATCATCATCATCATCATCATCATCATCATCATCATCGCCATCATCGTCATCGCCATCATCATCGCCATCATCATCATCATCATCACCATCATCATCATCATCACCATCACCATCACCATCATCATCATCATCATCAACAATCTTTCATCCTCATCCTCATTCTCGTCCTCATCCTCATCCTCATCTCCTTCCCCATCTCCATCTCCATCCTTATCCTCATCCTCATGCTCATCCCATCCTCATCATCTTCCTCCTCCTCCTCATCGTCATCATCATCATCATCACCACCACCACCATCGCCATCATCATCACCAGCATCATCATCATCATCATCATCTTCTTCTTCATCATCATCATCAACATCATCATCATCCTCATCATCATCCTGATCATCATCATACATATGTTGCATGGTCTTGAACATCTTTATGCAGTTCGGGTTTCCATTTGGGGAACGTATTTTTTTGATATTGCGTTTCTTTTGCTTACAACACTTGGCGAGAGACGATTGCTGCATCGCGGGGTTTTCGCTTGCTGGACCCTTTAGATTTTGCAACCCTACAACAGCCCTGCTCATCATAATCATCATCCTCATTTTCTTCTTCATTCTCATCCTCAGCATCCCCATCATCCCCATCATCCTCATCATCCTCATCATCCTCTTCGCCCTCATCATCGTCGTTATCAATTCATTGCTGTTACCATCACTTTCGTCATCATCAGTTTCCTTCATCGTTCTGGTCAGCAACCTCATCAACATCAAAATATTGGCACTCTTTGTGACTTGCAGCAACTCCAAAAAACCGCGTGAGACCGTATTCCGACTTCACCTTGCTAATCCCCCTTTACGATTACCACCCGACCCCAGCCCTGCTAGCTTTCGTACCTCCCCCCTGGCCTCAAGTCACATTAAACAGATGGACATGGATTTCGAACAGTGTTATGTTTGATGATCGTGAGACTCCTTGGGTTCGGTCACTTCAAGGGCGTGAACAGCTGCTGTTGCTGGCTCTGACAATGTGAGAGTGATGATGATGATGATGATGATGAAATCATTCCGAAGAAACCTGCTTAGTCATGGAACTAATGTCGGGGTAACTAATCTCCGAAAATTTCCAAAATTTGTTAAACTTGGTAGCTAGGTCCCAAGCTGTTCGCCAGGAAGATCCTTTGGCTGCAGCAGGAATCCCTGACTGGCTCCGGGACCAGTTCTCTGTCCCCAAGCTGCCGCCAGAGCCTGTAGTCCGAGCCGGCCAGCGCAAGGTGAAGGCGCGATGAGCCTCGGATGACCCTTGGATGGCCTTGGGCGCCCTTTGTCACTTTGGACATTTGGAGATCACTATATCGACTGTATCGTGTCTAGTCTAGTCATGTTTAATTATTTCACCTTCATGTTTCGCTTTTCTTCATTACTCTGCCATACTCTGCCATCACTTTTGGTCGGTTGTTTTCTTGTGGCAATTTGTCAGGTGCCTCAGCACTGTGTCGGCAGGTGGGATCGCAGATCGATGTCAAAACATGTCAAGAACATTGAAGACGATTTAAGATTTGGATAAAACACTGTGAAGGTATGTTACGTTTTTTTTGCTTGGGGACGGACTCAAAGTTTTGATACGTTTTGTTCTCGCTCTGTCTTCGGTCTCGTCCACATTTGGCTCAATTCGGTTGATTGCCGAGCAGCCAGGATTCTGGGGAAGATGGGAGCCACGATCAATGAGATCCAAGAGGCTTCAAACACAGACATCAAGATGAATCAGGAGCTGTGGGGATGTGACAGCGTTTGTGAACAAGATTCCGTTTATGCATGTTGATGCCCTATCTCTATCTTGTTCATGCAACGGAAATGTAAACGACCACGGAAGCGTGAAGAAATCACCATCCGTTCCACCCTGTGAGCAGAGAATGCTACGGCCTGACCAGGACACCAAGGAAGCAGGCTACAGTTACGTTGGAACCTTAAGAAGATCATGCCAAACAGCTGCTGAAACTCATAGTTCTTTGTGATCGCAGTATCGAAGTTGACTAAGTTGACCTTTGGATGCCAAGTTCAACAGATACTGGTTGAATCTGGTTGAACTTGGTTGATAAGTTGTGGGAGCTGAAGTTTTTGGCGCCTATGAGGCCATTGTCACCAGCATTAAAAATGTCGTGGGCGACCTTGACACAGCTGAGCGTCTCATCAATGAGAAGATCGCAGGCCCATAGAATTGGACAAAACTTAACTGCCTAGTTGGCATAGTACTGAGATCCCAAAGCTAAGACTACAGCATGTTTGTTGTGCAATGACAACGATTCCAATCTGTTTCAGCACTGCAGAAAGTTGCAGAACAGGCGGCGGCGGTGGTGGCAACAAAGGTGGCGGTGGAGGCCGGGAACATAGCTAAAGGACATACATGGAATTTCGTTTAATTTAATGAAATTTTGTTTGGTAGATGGAAGAATTGAATAGGAGATATTGTAAAATGAACCAAAGTTATACATACATACATACATACATACATACATACATACATACATACATACATACATACATACATACATACATACATACATACATACATACATACATACATACATACATACATACATATATTCAGACTTTTTAGAATGGATTGCAATTTTCCAAGATGCCAAATGATTTACCGTATATTCAACTTCGAGTTCGGATTCAGCGTCTAGATCCCAGGTATGGCCCAGCCGCTGCCAACGCCTGCTGGCAGTGAAACCAGGGTGCGGTTCAGCTTGGTGTTTTTTTTTGGGGGGGGATCTTGGGATATCCTTGGGATATCCTAGGAACTTATGAGTTTCAGATTCCGACCTTCGGATTTCTGGTGTGTTGCAAGCTTCGAAGCTGCTAAAGCTCAGCTGTTGCAGGAGATGAGGGTGGAGAAGGCACAATGCTGCACCGTTGATCCTTTCCACATTTGAAGTGTATCAGAGTTGACGTTTGGCATTCCTGCACCTCAGTGATGTTTCCGTGCAGATTTGTGAAACATGGTCAAACATTGCCTTCAATCAATTTGGGAGCAGACATAACTACACAGTGATTCGCACAGGCCCATGTTGGCAGCTTGATCGGCAAGGGCGGCGAAGTCATCAGGTCGTGTGCATGTATCCTGTGGGAACGCTTTGATTCTCCATGTTTGCGGCTATCTCTTCAGCGCTAAAATGCTCTTTGCTTATGATGCTTTGAGTTCGTAAAGCTTTTGATTTCCCAACAGATATTTCCTTCAGTGAGGGGATACAAAGATATGGATTTGGCCGGATTAAGAACTTGCAATTTTTGGTGGAGCTATGGCTTGACCCTGCTGAGAAAAAATGGTTTGTTTCAGGATGATGACTTCCGAAGCTGGGTGTCAGATTCAAATCGCCTTGGCCTCAGAATCAGCTTGATTAAACCAGGTTGGGCACGGGTGTATATTAGGTAATCGGATTGAAAGACAGTCATTGCTTCTGTTGGTACAGCTGAGAACGGAGACATGTGCTCGGTGTCCTTTGGGATATTGACTTATTGCATTCAAGGTGATATTGAAGGTTTTGTTTATGTGATGTTCTGTACTGGTTTGATACTGAGATTGATGCTGTATCTAATCTAACTATCTATCTATCTACCTATCTATCTATCTCTCTATCTCTCTATCTCTCTATCTCTCTATCTCTCTATCTCTCTATCTCTCTATCTCTCTATCTCTCTATCTTTCTATCTCTCTATCTCTCTATCTCTCTATCTTTCGATCTCTCTATCTCTCTATCTCTCTATCTCTCTATCTCTCTCTCTCTCTCTGTCTATCCATCCACCCATCCACCCATCCATCCATCTCTCCATCTCTCCATCTCTCCATCTCTCCATCTCTCCATCTCTCCATCTCTCCATCTCTCCATCTCTCCATCTCTCCATCTCTCCATCTCTCCATCTCTCCATCTCTCCATCTCTCCATCTCTCCATCTCTCCATCTCTCCATCTCTCTATCTCTCTATCTCTCTATCTCTCTATCGCTCTATCTCTCTATCTCTCTATCTCTCTATCTCTTTATCTATCTATCTATCTATCTACCTATCTATCTGTCTGTCTATCTATCGATCCATCCATCCATCCATCCATCCATCCATCCATCCATCTATCACAACATAGATATTCATCAAACACATTTGTTTGGAATGTGTCATGATCTGACCTTAAGCTTAACGGCTGGCTGCCTCAGAGTGATTGCATCATTGACCAAGGACCAGAGCCAATCCGGAGAGGGCGCCACGGTCACTTGGCAGCTGCTAGCTGTAATGCTGTCATTTGACCAAAATGAGATCAGTTTGACCACACTTGTTCCACGCCGCCAACCCTGTAAGGCTAAGGTGTACGTTTGGCTTTTGGTTTAGACTGTTTGTGGATTGCTTTACAATGGAGGGAAATTTAGTCGTGCAGACTGCATTGCAAAGGTTGATTTAGACTTAGATTGCATGACAGGCTGCTTCCATGTCGAGTAGTAAACTAAGAACGGCGACCTTTCTAGGTGCAAGCCTTTCAGAGGTTCAAAATAGACCCAAACCTGTAGCGCTGGTAGCCCAGTCATCACAACCACTTCCATTTGCGGTGACTTCAGATCATCCTTGGTCCTGGCTCAGCTGAACAAGTGCAGAAAGCGGAGGATCTCATAAATGCGACTTGTTGATGGGCTGCGGGTGCTGGGTGGCAACAATGTATGGGGGAGCCTTGCTTTTTCCATGGATTATTTGTTCGATTTTTGGGGCAGAACAGTGTACCAGAAAACAGCGCTTCGGACTACAATCCAATCGTCTATTGGTTTTCTGGGTCAATTGTATTTGTTGTTCGTGATAAGTGTGGTGTATGTGTGTTTGTGAGTGTGTGTGTGTCTGTCTGGGTGTATCACAAGGAATGCTTCCCAGGTGTGTTGAGTCGTCATTAAGCCCGTTGCGGTTGCGTTCTTCTATCAATGTAGTATTCAAAATCTGTGTCGCCTCACGATCTATTACCATGTGGAGATGGGTTTCCAACAAGATCTCAGCGCATCATCAGTAAGCTGGCACTGAGGCGAAAATTGTCGAGAAGTTTGGGAACAAGGTTTGGAAGCTGGGATGTTTGCCTCCGGAACTTGATTGGGCTGCAGCATGCACCATGTAACCATTGGCTGACCTTGAATGGTTTGTGTTGGATAAGCTTGCACACAGTTGGGTCCACATTTTTGAGCTCTGCGGTGCCAATCCTCAAAAACCAAGGTACACAGGTAGAGTTCTTGGGGGCATTACGCTTCTGGTGAAAAATAAAACTGTTCTACCTTCAAACATGACATTTCAAAGCCTAGCTTTGGCCATCCGTGCTCTGGGTTTGCAGGGCGGTGGCCCAAGGTGGGAGGGTGCATGGGAGGGACGGGTTGGATGAACAGCTTCAGTGCAGCAGTCCTGGCAACAAAGAAATCCCACGACCAATGACCCGTTGCCAGGCCACCCATGGGAATGGGACGACCACCAAACAGCTTGCCACCACTTGGAGGCCGGTTGCCATAGTGTTGGGGTGATTTGTGAGAAATTCAGCATCATTCATTACTTTCTGAGGTTAGATTTTGTTCCAAATTTAGGATGTCCTTGAGCTGATGCTCTCAATTACAAGGTGTGTTCTTTCAGCATCGTTGGGTCATGCTTGCACGTTTCACTGGTGCTACAGTGCTACCAATCCGAAAATTCAAAGCAAGTGGCACCTTGAAACAGGCATGTGTCCGCCGCCCCCGAGCTGTGGCGGTGGCTTGGCGGGAGTCCCTCGACCACCCCTGCCGTTGAACTTAAGCCCTGGTTTGGCTGGAGGCAAAGCAATGGCAAGCCGCATGTGCAATTGTTGTGATCGCAAATGTGGGGTGTATTTCAATTTTGGTGAAAATATTACATTATATTACTATTACATATACTGGATCATAGATGTGTTCCTTGCAGCCATGGATGGTCAAATCATGCAGTGTATCAAGATGTATCAAGTATCAATGTACTTGGCATTATGCCAACGTGTGACTTTGGGCAGGCAAAGGCTGCGGCCCTGGCCCTGGCTGCGGGGGTTGCGGTTGTGGCCCACCTAGCTGTGGAGGGTGTGGAGCTTGCGGCTGTGGCTGTGGCGGTTGTGGTTGCGGAGGCGGCTGTGGCTGCGGCTGCGGCTGCGGCGGCTGCGGCATGGGGGGTCCAGGCTGCAGCAGTGGCATGGGATGCAGCGGCATGGGTTGTGGAGGCTGTGGGCCTGGAGGTCCTGGCTGTGGACCCGGTCCAGGCTGTGGGGGTTGTCCTGGATGCGGCTGTGGTTGTCAAGGGATGGGCGGCTGTGGAGGTTGTGGATGTGGATGCGGCTGCGGTTGTGGCAACTGGGGAGGAAAAGGTGGTGGCAAGCAATGGGGACAGCCTGGATGGTGAGTCGCATGAGTTTTGGGTGCGATGTTTCATTGCGTCAGTTGCACGGCATGTGCGACCGGAAAGGGCTTCTGCAAGTCCAGCTTGGCACATTTAGCTCATGCAGATGAGCAAGAGAAGCACTGCCGCTCAATGCAAACTGAGAGTGAAGTCATAAATTTCAAGCATTTTGAGCATGCATGTGTGACAAACCTGTTGTTTGACAGTCGTCATGAGAAGTGAATGTTTGCTATACTTGAATTCACCTTTTGCTGGGCAGCATTGCTGGAGTCTGAGGATAGTCATGCTGACAGGTGCCACATGTCGGCAACAAACAAGAATCCTCGAGATGCATATTTTGGTATCGCCCTTAAGCCTGGTCGATCGGATCTATGTCTCCCTCTCTCAAAATAAGATATATGAGATAATATCAAATTACAATCATATGACAAACTTATATCATATAATTTAATCATAAGGAATACATATAATAATATACATAATTACTACGAATATTACGGGAAGGGATAGCACTGCGTGCGCGATGCGGCAACTCGGAAATCCCAACACAATTTATGTTAAAATTTTTCCCGATAGTTTTGGGGAGCGCTTTGGGGAGCAACTTTGAGGAGCATCTTTGCGAAGCAGCTTTGGGGACCAACTTTGGGAAGCAGCTTTAGGGAGTACTTTTGGGGAGCAACTTTGGGAAATAACAACTTTTGACAAATCACGATTGATATGTTTTATATAATTTTTTTGAACCTATCTTAATTTTATATTTTTTAGAAATAACGGACTATACCTAAGATAAATAAATAAATAATCATAAATAAACAATAATAAATATCCGTATATAAATTATAACAAAAATTTAACGTAATGAAAAATAATATAATAATATATGTTTTAAAAATTTATGAACTAAAATATATATTATAATTGGGAAAAAAATAATATTTTTATGATTTTGGAGGGCATGAATTTAAATCGGAAAATGTAAAGAATTTTGAATACGAATTATTATTTTGAAATATTAATTTTAAAATATATTATGAATAATTATTTATTGGAATATTTTTATACGAATGATATTATAATTTCGATCTTTAAAGGTAAAATTAAAGATATAATAATAAGGATATATTATAGGGGGGAAGAAAGATATATTATTAATTATATAAATATATTTTTAATATTTTTTTTTAATGGAAATTACGTTGGAAATAATATATATGTATATAAATAAAATTAAATTCTAAAATATATTGAATATGTAGGTTTATTAGCGGTTTAGTACCCACGAAGTTACTGTAAAAGGTTTAGTTAGGCAAGCGCACGAAGTTAGCCTGTTTTCGAAACCATCGCATACGGTTGTTTTACCTACCGACCTGACAAAGGGCATTTGACCCAAAGGTGGTGGTCACGGACATATACCTGGCAGGCAAGTTGGTGCATGACAGGTGGTTTCAGTTGCAAACTGCCCGGAGGGCAAGTTGGTAAACTGACACGGGCAGTTGTTAAAAAGAGCCTCATGGGTTAGGTGAAAAGAAAAATTGCTCTCTCCTAGAATCTTCGGTATTATCATCCAGTGAAAACTCGGTGAGCCGTCCAGTGTCGGCTACACAAGGACTGTGTCGCCAAGCGGGCACGGAGCTTGGTGGTTGGCTATCAGGCTTCGAAGTCTATCGGTTCTTGCTTGTAGAAATCGAATTGCTTCGATTTGAGTTGGTGGTTGGCTATCAGGCTTCGAAGTCTATCGGTTCTTGCTTGTAGAAATCGAATTGCTTCGATTTGAGAGGCCAGCATAATCGCCATCACGTTGGCGTTGCGTCTTGTTTCTTTCAGTTCATTCGCGATCTCGTTGCGGCGGCTAGCCACATCATAGCATTGACACCGAAGTCGGCGAATCAAATCCGCTTGTTCTGCACCTTCTCGTTGGAGTTGGTCCACGTGGGCATAGGCACGGTCCATTGCCTGTTGCAGGCGCAGTCGCTCGTATCGAGCACCCAGCCAAAGTCCAAGGAGGAGGCAAAGGAGCATCATCGCCAAAATGGCGAAAATCCAAATTCCGCTCTGTCCATGTTCATGGTCCGGAGCTGCATGCATTGCAGAGGTCGTAGGCAACCAGGTCAGCCACGCGATGACATACTTTATTACCTTGGCATTCTTTGTGGTTGCTACGTAGGCCTCGACAGGCTCATAGTGCTCGACATGGATGTCGTCATACGCAGGTTCGTAGGTCTCTTCATCCATGTTCTCATTATTAGTTATGTAGAGCTCGGCAGGGTCCTCAGGGATCTGCAGCTCATAGTTTCCATCATCCATGCGTCCATGTTGAGGTTGTGTTGTAGGTGAAGGTGAAGTGAGAGGTTGAGAATGAGGTTGATGTTGATTGGATTCCTTCCCTTTCGCAAACTCATTGCGGCTTGCTTCTCTTTCTGCAGCATCTTTGCGTTTCGCGCTAGTGTAGTATGGGTCCCACACCAGCTTCTGTCGATGATGTCGAAGTCGGTCAGCCAGCAAAGTTCTGGTAGAACTCTTTGTCAAACCATCAGCGAACTGCTTTTCGCTGCTCATCCATTTCAAAACACCACCCAAAGCTTGTAGTTGTTCTTTTCCAACTCGTATCTCCAGAGACGTCCTTTTGTCAACGGACGAAGAGCCAGTTAAACCTTCTTTGTTGTAGCTGTCATAGAGAGCTTTTACATCGGTGATCATGACGGGCTCGAGGTCAGATCGTTGGTCCAGGCATTCTTTCAGCTTTGAAGGAGGGTTGAAGAGGCAAATCCAATATCGACATATGAATTTTACCATGTCCGCTGTTTGGCCAAAAGCTTGAGCTTCAGCACTCAGACTTGACCTTGCCACTCTGGGGAGTTTGAAGCTGCGCTACTCTATCAAGTGGTAGGATGTCTCCTTTTCAAAGATCTTCTTAGGCACGACGAAGATCAGGTAGCCACCCTGAGACGTGGCATCTTCTCGGACTCCATGGGCAGCATCAAACATTGCACAGAGCCTTAAGTCGGCAAGTGAGTCAATGTCCAGGGGTTCATAGTTGAGCTTGACATCGCTATTTTGTTTTGCAAAGCGCAGCAGTTGGTTGGCTTCAATCACCGCACGTAGTTTACCTGTTTTCTGCTGGCCACTGATCAGGCTTGCAGAACACTATAAGTGCGGTGCAGTCTGAACGGCAGGCCATTGCAGTGAGTCAAGAAGAGCTCGAAGTTGTGACCTGTCATGGTCGTTCATCTCATCTTCGGCCGTACGGCCTTTGTGTATGGTCACGGGCTTGACCTTCTGGATGTAGTTATGTTGATTGACCTTCCAGCAGTGGTCATGCCTTTCAAGTTTCACGCCACAGTACTCCAGGGTCTTCTCATCAGTCTCGAAGGTCCTGAAGTCAAAGGCTTTCTTCAGGGCAGTTTCGGCATCCACATAGGTTTTGGAGTTTGGGTCTCCGGCAGCAAGCATGTCATCAACGTGAAGACACAGCATCCCCACAAGCGTTGGGCTTGACTCCTTCTTGAAGTCGTACAAACAAAAACAGCACGGGTCAAGCGCATGTTGTTGCCAACCAAGGCTTTTCAGTCGGCGGACTGCTTCCAAAAACCATCTCCTAGGAGCATCAAGTTGGCCATAAACTGGCTTTCGTAAAAACATCCTTGTGTTGGCAGTGGCTCCAAGGATCTGCAAGGCTTCGTTGGGAAGCTTCAGCCATAGTTTTCGTTCTTGAGGTAGGCCTTGAAGGAAGGCAGTGCTAACATCTGCGGACCAAGCTCGCCATCGCAAGTTGGCGGAAACAGAGAGCAGGAGGGATCTTGAAAGTCGGCTGGTGGTTGGTAACGCTGTTTCTAGGTTGCCCATGAGCGCGTCCACATCATTGAAACCACGCTCAACAAGTCGTGCTTTTGCACGAGGGCTACCATCAGCATTGCGACTCCATTTCAAAAGAATCCTGCTTGTAAGTGTTCTCTCTGGTGTGGCTTCTTCTGCAGTGCTAAACTCCCACATTCAAAAAAACTGCGAAGTTCTTTCACCTTCGCTTGGTGGAACATTTCTCTTTCAATTTGGTTCAAGTATTTTTAGTGACATCTCGACGTTGTTGTCGTTGATATTGGTTCTTGAGGCCTTGGGCGACCTTCTTTGCATTCTGAACGTGGTAGCTGAGGTTGCTGTCACTGGAAAACATGTTGAGCTCTTTTCTGGTTTCAGCATTGATTTGAAAAACTGTGATGTCCTTCCATATAGATGACAATTGATGCTGTCACAGGTCCTTGTCATGATACTGAGGATTTCTGAAATCATTAGTGAAGGTCTTGGCACTGCCGTCACGGTCAAAGTGAATGGTGACCCTGACATTGTCAAGTTTGTCAAGTGGAACTGGTATGTCTGAGCTGCCAGCAGGGTCGAAAAGAGTGCGCCGTTGGTGGCAGTGATGTCATAGGAGGCATCCAGCTTTCAGCTCCCAGAAATCACGTACTCGGGCACCTCAAAGTAGCCAGTCTCAGGCTTGAAACACCAGTCACTAGGCAGTGAATTTTGTTCCATGTCCTCCGCATTGAAAGCCATATTCGCAGCATCATCATCGCCACGTGCTGGACGATCATATGGAGTAGCTCCATGAGAGCTTTGAAGTTGTGGCCTGCGGGGTCTAAAAGACAAAGTTTCTTGGCGGTCAACTCGTGCTCGTCGTTGCTCAAAAGTCTCTTGTTATGGAACTTGAAATCTCTCAGTAGTTGCAGGGTCTAAAGCTTGACCAGCTGCTGGTGTTGGAGGAAAAACTTCTGCTGAGGGCTCCACTTCGTCGTTGTTGTTGATTGGCAACGTTGGAGGTAGAGGAGGTTCATCAGCCATTGGAGCTGGTGGTCCCATAAGTCCAGGGGACGGAGAAAGTCCATCATGTTGTCCCAAAAGTCCAGGGGACGAAGGTAATTCTTCTGGAAGTCCCATAAGTCCAGGGGACGGGTGATAACCATCATCAGGAGGTTGATCATCATCACGAGGATCATCATCGGCAATTGATGGCTCGTAGTCATCATCACCTTCAGCTCCATCTTGAAGTCCAGCAAGTCGACGACGCTTGGCCTCTGGCACATAGTCATCGGCCTCGTGGTCGGAGATCATCTCTTCATCCTCATTGATGTCGTCAATGTGTTGACGATTCAAGCGATTCA